AATCGAGGCACAGAATGAAAATGTCCGCATTATAGAATCAAGAAAAAATTTATTATGTGAGGAAAGAGAAAGATACAAGTAGTACGAGATGATTCAACATTCAACTATGCTTTGGTTCATAATCTTCGTCATCTTTGTCAGATGTATCAAATATGTGAATGTATCGGTAACAAAGAGAACGTAGTCTTTTTTGATAATCATCTAAATCTAGTAGACCATTTAAATAATCTTCTGTTGCTTGTACTAAAATATTTTCATTATTAACTGAAGTTAACCTTTTTGGACGAGTTGTTCGTTGTTGTGCGTGTTCCTGTTCTAATCGAATCATTACTGATTAGCGTCGATAAAATCGATTTGTGTGTACTAATTTTCTTACTATTTCTACTTTTTTTTTGATTCTATAATGCGGACATTTTCATTCTCTACCTCGATTCTGCTTTGCGGACAATTTTCAAAATGCGGTCATTTTTGTCTATACCCCCTGATTCTACTTTGCGGACATATTTTTCCTCCAATTAAGAAAAATTGCCCGCAATCAAGCAGACACGGTCGAAATATATAGTAATTTCAATGAACTATCACTGATTGACATACTTTTGTGCAGCTTTCATCCTGAACAATAGTACTACGATAAGACTTAAAATGTCTTGATTTTAATCGAAATTCCTGATTTTTTTCTAAAATGTGTCCTGCCTATTTTCCTGATTTTCAGACATAGGCCGCTGCGACCCCTGTGAAACTATTTGGGTAACAAATTTGAAATCGATACTTTCACAGTGAAATTTTTAACAGATCAATGTGGAGTTAATTACGATAGAACGAATTTATTAGGGACGGTTAAGATGTCTTAGTCGAGTGTTCTCTGAAGATCGGATTGATAACCGTGATAAACGATCAGGTATAGTTTAATAAAAGTAGAGAGCGACCTTCAGTTGTTGATCGAGATAGCACTTTAGTTATTTGATATGTTTAAATGAGTCTTTCTGATAAAAAAATATAAATTTATATTAAAACAATATATACGGATAACTAGATCGATGAGTGAAATGCATAAAAGGTTATATATCATCGCTATTGAAAGCCTGAGAAAAAAAGTATTGTTACTATGAATATAATTATACTTTCTACATTTGTATATAACATGAAATGACAGTCATTAATTTAGTTGTTTGAATATTCTTAGAAACAAATAGTTTGATACGAGACTGGATCATGTTCGATATTTGCATTTCAATGTTGAATAGAAAACAAGCAACTCTAGCAACAAAAATACCGTGAAAAGTTTGCTGTCTATGTCAGCTTTTCTCAAGTTAGCAATTACTTTAAACATGATTATTCTGATTTTATTCAGTTAATTCTAAATGAATTTTTATTTGCAACTTGTTGTTATCAGAAATATTTGAATATGTATGCACAGTTTCTATATACACATTTATTGAAATCATTAATCATTTATGTTAAACGTGCAATTGTATTCGAATAGACGATTTATCTATTTTAATGTTTTCTTTATTTTATCTTTATATGACTTGAGCTGACAATATTATACTATTATCCTTTAAATCACGGGATCGACGCGACAATAATCCAATGAAATTATCAACATTATCAAAAGAAATGCACAGTAACGTTTCTTAGTAGACAACTTATCTATTCATGCATATTCAAAATACAGTAATTACAAATATATAAAACATATTGTCGTATCTTTCATCGATTTTCACGATTCATGACAAGGTAATAGGATGAAAGCCAATGAATGTTTTTTTTCTTCGTGTGATTGTACGTCAGATAGAATCTTAGATGAAAAAAAACACGTTTAATGACTACGCATAGTTATTTTTTTGATGTCCGCACAAATTTTAATCAAATAAAAATGTCTCGAATAACTTAATCTTGAATCGGTATTTATTGTATGTGTGTGAATAAATGACTATCACACATTTTTCTTTTAATGATACTCATCGTACACGAAAAAATCACATACCACTGTGATTAATGACTCGTGCCTTTAAAAAAAGTACTTATTGGTTGCTTCAATCTATGACATAAGCACTCGCGTTTAGTAATGTTTGTTGTGTTTTTGATTGCTTGTATCATTCTATACACCGAAATGCAAACATACAATGCAATAGTAATAAAGCACATGATAAATCAGAATTTTTCGTTAAAGACACATATATTAAGAATATTTTTGTTCCAAAAAAATATAGAAACATTGAAAACTAGACTGACAAAAATATATGTCGATACTGGATTCGTAACATTATTAGCATTCTTTTGATTTGAGATAAAGATTGAAATCTATTCTGTTTCATGCTTCAATAATTGCATTAATTGATTAATCGAATATTTGTCTCGATCATACTTCGAACGTAGTATAACAAGATTGCATTTCAACAAACATATCGTTTAACATCGTAAATAACTTGATCCTATCTATGTCAGCGTGGATTTTAAAGTGAACTTGCCTGTAATCGTAACTGATTATTCTGACGATTTCATAAATAACTAGCTTCATTCTAATCGATAATTAAATTTTAAAATGAACTACTTTGCGTCTTTCATTTTCAACTTAAATATAATTCATATAAAAAAAGGGGGTTATTAAGCAAATTTTCATTGAAATATGATAGGAGCTTGGTGTTTTTTCTTTCAAAAAAATGTAAAGAAAAGACGGTATCAGTTGATGCGAAATAAGATGAAATAAACAAAACACATGTGAATAGATTTCGAAATGACGACTAGAAATTTCTAAATAAATTCATCTGGTGAAACGACTAATCGTGCTTGACAGATATAGTTTGATCTTAGAACAGACTGAAATTCATATAGATTATTATTAACATTTGAAAAGCACAAGGTCGTATACGATGAAGATATTGCTCTTCAATTATTGTAAATGATAAGAATAGACTCATCATATTTTTCCTGTTTACAATCGAATACGGACAGCATTTTTTTCCGTACACCATGGTATATGCTCATATTTCAGGCCATCCTGTAAGATGCTATCTTTTTGAATCAGAGAACCGATGCCATCAATTTTCGTATTTTCATAATGCTATTTGTAGATTTCTAGTGTAATTCATTAAAAAAGTTCTTCAAAAATTAATTAGAGAATTTCTATTTTGAAATGAACTCAAATTAAATAGTTACCTGTTTTCTGTTAAAATTTTAATATCAACTAAGATAGAAATTAGTTATCACAGTCAAAATGTCACAGTTAACTAGTTTCAACTCAGTTAAAGCGAAAATTTCAAACTTAATTGGCTGAATTTCCGATTGTCAGGTCAATTATTGGTATTTCCAAAACAGCTGAAATGACCTTTGACAATATACATGTGATTTTTATTTAATATAATATGATATTATGCATAAATATGACTTCTCTTTCTTCAGTTTACCTTTCTTTTGATCGAATTACTGTGTTGTGATAGGAAAAAAAGAAGAAGAAAACAGAGAGAGAGAGCATATAATAGATAAGCGCATCAATGTATACCATGCATTCATACCTTTACGCTTTTTAAGTTCACAATAGACGATAAAGTATACGATGGCAAGTGTCCGTGAAAATCGTTATGGTAAAGAAGGTGTTCGTCTTGTACGAGTACATCGTTCACCATACAATGGAAACACATTCGATGAATGGAAAGTACGTGTTCTAGTCGAGGGTGACTTTGCTAGTAGTTATTCCGAAGCTGATAATTCCAAAGTTTTACCAACAGATACAATGAAAAATACAGGTAAACCTAACAACTTAAAAAAGATTTAATTTTTTTTATTCTAAAATATTTCAGTCTATTATTTGGCACAACGTACAAGTGCAATATCAATTGAAGATTTTGCAAAAGATCTGGTTAATTATTTACTTGAACGTCATTCTCATATATCATCTGTTAATGTTTATATTGAAAGTAAAGCTTGGTCACATATAGTCACATCAAATAACGTTCGTCATCCAACATCATTTATTCAATCAAGTAATGAAATACAATTAACAACTGTTAAACGTTCAAGACATGGTAGTTTCTCAATTATATCTGGTCTTAAAGACTTAAAAGTAATGAAAACAGCTAATTCAAGTTTTGCGAACTTTTATAGAGATCCATTAACAACATTAGCTGACTCAACTGATCGGCTTTTTGGTACAGCTATTGAAGCTCATTGGACATATGAAGATGAATCAACAGTACTTGATTTTGATAAAACTCGTCAGCAAATTCGTTCATTAATGATTGATTTATTTGCTGATCATGTATCAAAAAGTGTTCAACATACATTGTATGATATGGGTAAACTTGTTTTAAATAATGTTAAATCAATAAGTAAAATTCATTTAACAATGCCAAATCTTCATTGTTTACCTGTTGATTTAAGTCGTTTTGGTGAAGAAAATAAAAATGACATATTTATCCCTATTGATGAACCTCGCGGTTATATACAGTGTACATTAACAAGATCATCAACAAAAGGAGCACTTTTATCAAAACTTTAATATTGACTCAATCGTTGTTTTTATTTTTTCTTTATGCGATCCTGTGACTTTTTTTTCTTCCTTTATTAACTAAAGATCAATTTTTTTCTCATTTTAATAAATTTTCAGATGGCTAAAACTTTAACTACACATGTTCTTGATTTATCATCCGGTCGACCAGCTGCTAATGTACCAGTTCGAGTTGAAAATTTTATAAATGGGGAATGGATATTAATGCCGACACCTACAAAAACTAATGATGATGGTCGTGCACTTGATTTGGTTCCGATGGACAAATGGCAACCAGGTCGATGGCGTATGACATTTGAAATAGATTCTTATATGCCTGATGGATTTTTTCCTTCTGTTACTATTGAATTTTGTACTAAAGATACAACTCATTATCATGTACCACTGTTACTGAATAAATTTGGTTATAGCATCTATCGCGGATCATAACATGTGTTAAATGGCCCTTTTTTTGTTTCTTTTATTAATAAGCAAAAGAAATGATTACATATGATTAATAATGAGCTTTATTATCGGATTCTGTCCACATTGCAAATGCTCTTGATTCATCTTTAAGTAATTGAGTAATGCCAACACGCCGTTCATGTAGTTCACGTGCTAATTCTTCATAGATAAAATGATCATCAAAACCGACTAGAAGGAAAACAGACAATTATTTTAAAGTCATTTTGTTTCTAAATATTATCTTACTATCTTTAGCATCATGTTTCGAATGGGAAAAGTAAACATGATCAATATGTGCCCAATAAACAGCACTCAAACACATAGGACATGGTTCACATGAACTATATATAACACAGCCTTCAAGATTATGTGTTTTCAATTCTTGACAAGCAAGACGAATCGTCACCATTTCAGCATGTGCTGTCGGATCGTTTTTTGGAACAACTTCATTTGCACCTTGAGCAACAATTTGACCGTCTTTACAAATTACCGCTAAAGAAAAAAGCATATTATTTTATATTATAGAATAATACATAAATAAAAAGAACAAAACAATTTACCACCGAAAGGCCCACCAAGTCCACGTTGAACATTTTCTTCTGCTAACTAAAAGAATGTAAACATCAATTAAATATGACTATCTGCATAATACTAATTTCTATCTTCCTACTTTAATAGCCAAACGAAGGTATTTTTCATGCTCTGTTCGTTTACTTTCGTCAACTTTTTGTTCAACAAATATATGGTGTTCTTCCATAATAAGAATAATCAAACGTACAAAGTCTAAAATATTTTTACGGTAAAAAATAAAAATGAATTGTTTTTATCTACCCAACCATTTTCTGTAGTTTTTTGCTACTGACCGAGTATAGACTAGTTTTAATTATCTAAACAAGAATTATATGCGACGAATCCAATTTAAACGGAGACACACCAACTTTAACGTAAACAAACTTTACTTTTGAGTTATTCTTGGATCATATCATCTCAAGGGATTCTTTAATTAAAAGTAAAATGCACGTATATGCATATTAAACTATGTGTATTAAAATCAACAAAGATAAGTACACTTATGACTAAATGTACTTTTTTACTTCTAATTACGTAGTTTATTCGTCGAATCACGGGATAAATAATAGAGAATAAGACATGTAATTTTAAAGTCATTATATTTTCCTTTTGTTCAAATTGATGTTTTTTTCTTCTTCTTATAATTACTACATTTCGGCTGTGGACAAATCGATTCGTTATTTACTTTGAAAAACAATTCTTTTTAACTATGAAACTTACAAAGATGAACAAAATGTTTAATATCTGTTTTGATTGCAATAAAAATGCTAAAAATAATAAATAATATGATAAGTATTATCATACTAATAGAATATGATACTGATAATAAATAATAAATAGGTTCCATTGTTATTAAAGGACTACACATGGTAAGAAGAAAAGTCTGCTACTCCCCAAGATAATATTTTCATATTATAGTTTTGTCCTTTGAACCTTGCCTTACATGTATTTGTTTCGGTATTTCCAAATGAACTCTTCCTTTTCGAGAAAAGCCTACATCTTGATGACCAAGTATTGAGATAAGATATAGACCTATTTGGACACTTGCAGAATATTTTTCTCTGTTTTAAAAAGTGACTTTAAAAATCTAATTAAATCTATAGAATTAGTATTAAAAACTTTATCATTCTGTATAATTTTTGACCTCTGCAAAAGTCCTCGTGTTCAAAAAAAATTGAAATTAAGCCATCTAAGGATATATGCATTGAAGATATCAATATTTTGGGATGGCATTATCTGAAAAACAAAACTAACACCTAGCTGAAACTTTCTCAAAACTGCACTGTTACTTAGTAAAAAAAGCTAGCCATTGAAAAAGCTTGGAAAACAATCTATATGTGGAATTCTTTTCATTTATTAGGTAAAACAGTCAGTTTTTGTTTAGTTTCGGGCTGCTGTAACTTCATTTGCTCATAAGTGGTGTTTGAAGAGAAATTTCGACATCAAAATCGAGTTCAGTGTCAAAATCTGAATCAAATGGTATGTGTCTTGGTAAAAATCACTCGCCCACAAAAAGAAATCCCGGAAAGATCATGTTAAAAAAATTTAGAAAACAAAAGGACTGAAGGGGAATACAGGAGCCTTCGTGTCGAAACTTTCTTTTCCGAACCCGAGCAGACAAACATTTTCAAAAACGCGTTTAAATGCACAAAAAAGGGCTTAAAATCCATAAAAAATGAACGTGTTTAGCTCACAATCGCGGTTCCCGACTGTCAGCGAAAAACGACCACTTTTTGCCCTTTTTTGTGCGTTTAAACGCGTTTTCTGCAAAAACACGCTTGTAAACTCGTATAAACGCGTAAGACGATCGTAAAAAGTTGTCATCTTTTTCATACTCATAAATCACAATCAGAATTACAATCGCCGTTCACGAAAACAAAAAAGATAACTACTTTTTATGCTCTTTTTATGAGTTTATACGAGTTTACAAGCGTGTTTTTGGAGAAAACACGTTTAAATGCATAAAAAGAGCAAAGAGTGGTCGTTTTTCGCTGACAGTCTGGAACCGCGATTGTGAGCCAAACACGTCCACTTTTTATGGACTTTAAGCCCTTTTTTACGCGTTTAAACGCGTTTTTGAAAATATTTGTCTGCTTGGGAAGCATATGCCATTTGATTCAGGTTATGACGCTGAACTCGATTTTGATGTCGAAATTTCTCTTCAAACACCACTTATGAGCAAATGAAGTTACAGCAGCCTGAAACTAAACAAAAACTGACTGTTTTACCTAATAAATGAAAAGAATTCCACATATGGATTGTTTTCCAAGCTTTTCAATAGCTAGCTTTTTTTATTAAGTAACAGTGCAGTTTTGAGAAAGTTTCAGCTAGGTGTTAGTTTTGTTTTTCAGATAATGCCATCCCAAAATATTGAATATCTTCAATGCATATATTCTTAGATGGTTTAATTTCAATTTTTTTTAACATGAGGACTTTTGCAGAGGTCGAAAATTATACAGAATGATAAAGTTTTTAATACTAATTCTATAGATTTAATTAGTTTTTTAAAGTCACTTTTTAAAACAGAGAAAAATATTCTGCAAGAGTCCAAATAGGTCTATATCTTATCTCAATACTTGGTCATCAAGATGTAGGCTTTTCTCGAAAAGGAAGAGTTCATTTGGAAATACCGAAACAAATACATGTAAGGCAAGGTTCAAAGGACAAAACTATAATATGAAAATATTATCTTGGGGAGTAGCAGATTTTGCTTCCTACCGTGTGCAATCCTTTTTTTCTTTATATTCATTTGGCCTTGACGATATCGATTCTAGCATTTTATAAACATACATGCATTTGTCGATGGGAAATAAATACAGCTGAATGATGATAAGCATCGTACTTGAAGAAAGCGAAAATATTTTTGCGATCATTTTGATTGAATTATTTATAGGCTTGAAAATAAATACGATAGTCGCAATAGGTCTTAACCGTTTATCCCTTATTTGCGCAACTCGAATTAACATTTTCAAAAACATTGTAGAAAAATAAAAGAACCGTTATCTATTGGTAAATAGGATATTGCTTTGGATTGTTGTGTCTTTGCAATATCAGACCTATAAAACAGATAATGTAGACAAAATGAAAAAGAAATCAAAATTTTTGCGACGTAATATTCTTTACTCATAGTCAATAAAGATCTTTTGGAATTTCTGTATAGTATTAATGGATGGAAATAAGTACTATTGAATTAAACATATTTCGAAAGTTTCATAATAACTCTTCGAATTACACGTACAAAGGTATACGATCGGCCATATAGCCACGATTGGAGACATGGAGAGTAATCAAAAACAAAATGAATATGTGTATTATAAACCTTAACTCATAAGAAATTGAAATCGCATTTATTATGAATTAAAATTTTTCAGAGATTATAAAATAGTTTAGAGAAAAATAGACTTTAATGCATTCGACTCGATTCGATTTGATTACAAAGTAACTCCAAGAGATTCATTTTCATGTGTATTCATCAATCGATAAATGCGCTTATTGCTTTTTTTTATTTTGTACTGGTTGTTATGAGAAATTCAGGCAACAAAAAACAAGAGAAACGAGCATGGCGACAGCAAAGAAAATAAAAACTTTGTTGCGATTGTGACAATTTTCTTTTTTTTTGTATTGTTGTAACCAGAATCATCACGCTAAGCAGTAAATGATTCAAAAAATAGTGAAGACAAAGCAGACGATACATAATGTGTAATCTGCTGCCGAAAACCAAGGG